TGAGTGCCTGTGTCTGAAGTCCCTCTGGTCCCATTTTACAGACAGAGGAGGGAAAGCTGCCATTCAGAGCGGCATTTCACCTAAGGGTGTAATTGTTTGCCACCCCCTCCTTGCCCACAGAGGGAGCACAGCTCTGAACAGCCATTCCTGACACTTCTGAAATCAGATGAATTTAACCCCACCCATAGGGGAATTAGGGATTTCAAGGGACTCTACTTAAACCTGGAGTAAGGCAGGTGTCAGAGGCAGCTCAGCTGTTCCCTTCTTGGGGAAAAAAAAAAGATACGTTAAGGTCTCCACCTTTTCAGTTGCAGCCAATTCAACTGAGTTGAAACAAATCTAACAAATTCTATTTCTTCTTTTCCATGAGACGAGTCTTTGGCTGACTTTCTACAGTATATGCTGTGTATTCATATCAACAGATTATTCAAGCTGTGACCAGAGAAGATCATCTGCATTTAAAATACAATTTTTAATCTGCAATGTAAGCTGACAGTAGGAATCATCAGCCCGACACCATCCCTAATGCAAGAAAACAAAGCAAATACTTCTGTCAAAATTTGAATGACCCAGTTTGGAGGCACTGGATGGCAGAACTGCTGGAGGTAGGGCACTTTACTTCAAAATGGCTATTGTGAATGTATAAAGAAAATCAAAGGAAGAACTAAGGCTAAAACTTATTTAAATGGTCTCTGAGCCACTACACACGGGTTACATAAATTGAGGATTATTTCTGAGAGGTGTTCTGATTTAGGGAATAAAAGATTAACTGTCAGTAAAACCATGGTTGCTGTGAGTGTTGCTGACTTTAATAAAGAGCTAATGATCAAAGCAATAATCTAAAACTTTCATATGGAGAATTAGGTGTTTCCACTTCAGCTGCATGGATCTAACAGGTTAAGAAAACCAGTGTGAGTGTGTGCTGTTAGACACTGCAGGGAGTTTTTAATGCCATTCTCTGTCATGCACAGACTATACTGAGTTATCACTCAGACAAATAATATTTCATTCCTCTGTCAATGGAAAAAGTCAAACCCAGAAAGTTTCCTTTTAAATACATCAGGCCATCAAATGTCTGAGAATGTTTGGAGTTTCTTTATTGGGCTTGTGTGTTAAAGTCATCTGTGGGCTCCAGGATCCACAGCTTGCACCTTTGTGTTCACATCGTAAAATCCACGGATAAAAGATGTCCTGGAAGAGAATCAGAGTCAGTCTGAGGAGTGACTGAGTCAGGGCAGAGTTGTGTGTGCTGCTCTGGCTTTGGCTGTGGGTCTTTCTGTGTGTTCCAGGTCTGGTGATGTGCTCCATGTGTGAGCAGCACAGAAGGTGCTTCCTCCCCCCTCTGTCCCCATTTATGGATACATTTCTACATATGCCAAAATGCATTTTGTGCCTTGAGATTGCTGGTGTAGGGCAGTGGTTGGTGATGAGTCTGAAGGGTGCAGAATTAACGATCCCTTTCTCCTCTGTGGCAGGCTGATCGCTTCTCTCTTTCAGTGCCTCAGTTTCCCATCCTGGTGAGAAGACACAGAGCTGCCACAGCTGGTGCAGCAGTGCACAAATATCCCATCAACATGGCACACCAGCAACGCTCCTCAGGGTGATGGGACTCTGATGGGACTGAGCTTCACCTTCTGCACTTTCCTTACCATTCTCTGTGAGTACCTCCACCTCCAATTGTTCCTTCTTCCTTTGCCTACAGACAGAATTTTGTTTTGATTTACTTTGGTGCTGCTTTCTTCGGTCTGTGGGTGTTTTGGGGGAGAGGAGTCTTAGATCTTCCCTTCACAGCTTCTGCTTGCTCCATTTGGGAGTGCTTTCCCCAAAGCTGGGCTCTTTGAAGTATTTCTGTCCCCCTGACACCTGGGGATTGATGTGAATATGAGCCAAAGCCTGCAACAGCTTGAATTTGCCTGGCTTTCATCTTTGTTGAATTGCTCTAAAGGTAACCTCAGATGTCTTGGAGGAAGGCTGCCTGCCGTGTCAGCCCACTCAATAGGAAAAACAGAGTGCAGGGAGCAATGCCCACTGCTCCTCAAGGTAGCAATATGTTTTTTTCTTTCTTTGGTTTGTGAGTGTTTCAGTTGTCATCTGTGTGTTCCCCTCAAAGCACCAGTGGGGACCAGCTGGGAGCACAGACCTGACAGCTGAGGAGAGTGAATATTCTCAGCAATTAACCCTGAACCTGTGATGGAGCCAGCCCTGAAACGCCAGCTCCTGTCAGTCGAAGGCTTGGTCACTGTCTCAAACAACGACACTTGGAGGGCACTGATCATGCACTTCCAGCACCCACAACTGTTGCTGTCTCAGTTTGCTCAGCTCAACCTGTTTTAGAGTCACCCCCTTTGATCCAGCAGATCTCCAGGGATTCCCAAGGGGCTCCTTTTTTGTGTAACTGGCTGAAACACCCTGGTCTCAGTGCAGTGACTCTGACAGTCTGTCTGTTTGATTCCTCCAGATGGAGCCAGCAGAGGAACAAGATGCAAGAAACCACACTCTGCTGACTGAATTTGTCCTCTCTGGACTGTCCAGCCACCCAGAACTTCAGCACCTGCTGTTCTTCACAATCTGCTTAGTTTACACCACGACTCTCATTGGGAACCTTCTCATCTGCATGGTCACGGTGCACCCCACCCTCCACACGCCCATGTACTTCTTCCTCCGCGTCCTGTCCTTCCTGGACATTTCCACAGCATCAGTGGTTGTCCCCAAGATGCTGGTGACCTTCGTGTCAGAGGACAGGAGCATCTCCTACAGGGGCTGTGTCACTCAGCTCTACTGCGTGGTTTTCCTGGCATCCACGGAGTGGTATCTGCTGGCAGCCATGGCCTATGACCGCTACGTGGCCATCTGCAGCCCGCTGAGATACGCTGCCATCATGAACACCCGGCTCTGCCTCTCCCTGGTGCTGCTGTGCTGCTGCAGCGGCAGCGTTGTGTCGGTGGTGCAGACAGCTTGGGTGTTCACCTTGTCCTTTTGTGAGCCCAGGAAGATTGATTATTTCTTCTGTGACATTCCCCCGCTGATTGTGCTCTCCTGCACCGACACCTCGCTGTATGAAAAGCAGATCGTTTCAGCCACGGCGCTCGTCATCTTTACGCCGTTCTGCCTCATCCTGCTGTCCTATGTCTGCATCATCTCCAGCATCCTGAAGATTTCCTCTGCAGAGAGCAGGCATAAAACCTTCTCCACCTGCTCCTCACACCTTACTGTTGTCACGTTGTACTGTGCAAGTGGGACTTTGATTTATTTACAGCCAAAATCCAGTAATTCACAAGGTGCTAAGAAAATCCTTGCTCTCATATACACAACTGTAATTCCCACATTAAACCCCCTGATTTACAGTCTGAGGAACAAAGAAGTGAAAGAAGTACTAATCAGAATGGTGGCTGTGCTGATGAAGAAATAAAGATTTTCTTGTCTGTGAATGTGTAGATTTAAAACTTTGTTTCCTTTTTTTTGTGGGTTTTAATGGTTTACTAGCTCAGTGGAAACTGCAGGCACAAAGATCTATTTCACACTTGTAAATGTCTTTATTCTTTGCTTTAGAAGCAATTTATTTAGAATTTCTTTAAAATTTCTATCTCCATCTTGCTTAGGAGTACTATATATATATATATATATATATATATACACTAGACACTTCTTCTAAAACAGACCATCTGCAACCCACCCCACTTCCCATGTCTAATTCAGATATCCAGGTTGGAACTTCCCACTTTTATTGCAGGAGTTCCCTCTCACTGGAGCAATACTCTTTTACAGTGAATTTTTCAGGCTGAGCATACACTAATTGATAGGGATTTTGTGTTTTGCTTTGACTTTTTTTTTCCCCTTGTGTTTTCCATTCCTTCCAGCAGAAACAAGGAATGAAAAATGAAATTTTCACTGAATGAAAGTGATAAGGAAATCAACTCTGCAGAGTGCAACCTCTGCTGAGAGTCCCAGAGGCCAGCATGTGTGGATTTGGGGGCAGCTACTGCAGTCAGAGAGGGAATAGGGAGAGCAGAGACCTGGCCTGTGGTAGCAGTTCCTGAAGCCAGGGGGAACTCACCCTACAGCCACTGGGAAGGAATACTTTGTCCCCAAGAGCAGTTGCTGGGGGGGATGCATGAGCAAGGGGAGCAAACATGCCTGATTCTGGGGGAGGCAACTGTCTGTACACCCTAAAATCCAGGAGAGCACTGGTGTATCCACCAGCAAAAATCCAGACCAGCTGGAAAGCAGGAGACTCCAGGTGTGGGCAGGGATATCAGGAGGGCAAAAGATCTGTGTTGTTACCTGGAGGTACCTGCAAGTGTGGGGAGCCTTTGGGATGAGCATTTTTGGTGTGCCACGCTGGACCAGCTGGCAAAGAGGGGACTGTGGGATGGGTCAGCAGGCTGTGGTCCATGTTGGAGTGCTGGGTGGACAGAGGGGTCACACCAGGGTTTAAAGGATTTGTGAGTGTGCACAGGTGCTTGTGAACCCTGAGGGTGCCACATGAGTGAGCCAGCGCCATAGTGAGGTGCATGTATGGTGCTTGTGTCACACATGTCCTGTGTCACACGTGCATCTCTTCTGCAGAGAAAGGGGCATGGGGTGTGTGTGAATTTATGATGGAAAGTCTTAATTGCACTGACAGTGCTTCCAGACCTCATAAGACAGATTGAGATGACAGCAGCTCATTTAAACCTGTGATGTATTTAAACTAAACACCATGCAGAGGCAACTTTTCAAAAGTCCTGAGTTGAGTTACACATCCAGGCAGGGAGTCCAAGGCCTGGCAACTCTGCTTCATGGCAGTCTTCCGTGGGATATTCTTCTTTTTCTACTGTTTCAGAAGCGCTGAAGGTGGCAGTTCTTCTCCAGCCATGCTTGTTTCCATTTCCAATCACAACTCAAAGCCATTGTGATCATCAAGGTATTCACAGGCACAGAAAACAACCTCGCTGGGGTGCCTAACCAGCCTGGCTGAGAGAAGGGTGCTACATGCCACAGCACCTGGGGAAGCTGACTGAAGCCTGAAGCTCTAAAAACTCAGCTGAGGTAACTAAAGCAGCACTGATTGTCCCCACTGTGCTTCCTGGCCCACAGGGAACCCTGTCTGTGTCTCAGAGCAGGTTAGCTCACTCTCAGACAGGAAACTGAAGCACAGTAGTCTGACTACAACATGGCATTAACTAGAAATACATAGACTACTCTGTATGAATTATTTAAAGAGCAGGTCTTTTTATCTGCCTGAAGTGCCTTTTAATAGAATTTTCTAGCCCTGAGATACATCACACTGGGAATATTTCTCTAGAAGTACTTCTATAATAAACTTCACTGCTCTGTGCAGTTCACGTCCTGCAAACCACTTTAGGATATGGAAGTGGGAAGCACATGGAAAGGAAGCACATGGATGCATTTCCTGCCACAATGAGATGATGAAACTGCAATCTTCTCCACAATCTTCTCTACTGCTTCCCTAGGAAAACCAGGCAGCGTGGATATTCTCACTGCCCAGTCAGGGGAAACACCCTGAGCACAAGAACCGCCTCAAGGGCTGAATAAAACACCCTGCTCTGAGGTAAGGCAGTGAAGGCAACACTGAAATGCTTCTTTAGACTAAAGCTGTGACCTTCACTGCCTCACAGTGATGCACCACCCACCCAGTTTTCCTCAGCACATTAGATGTAATGGGCATTTAGGAAAGGCAAAGCAGTCCAAGGGCCACAGTCTGATTGTCACCCTTTTCCCACAGGCTGGCAAAGCACTGCTCTCCCTCATCCCTGCCACAGCACAAAGGGTATGGAACCCTGGAAGGATGTAACTCTTTGGACTGCACTCTGCTGAAAGTACTGACACATCAACTTGGAACCAGCAACAAGAAAGGAGATAGCAGAGTCTCCCCACAATCTGTACTCAGCACCCTTTGCACTGCTCTAAAGATGGATCTTCTCCCACAACCACTGAGACTGAGAAAGGAACTTCTGCTCTTCTGCTTTGCCTGTGTCATCGTGGGGAAAACCAGGAAGGGTGACTTCCAGTACCATGGAAGAATTACAACAGCATTACAACCTATTTCCTGCTGCCACCTGTCTCTCAGAGGAGAAGACATCACAGCCCCTAGCTGCTCTGCCAGCAGTTCACACACACCATGGGAAAGGGAAAATGGGCAATTCCATAGCCACAATCTTCTGAGGAGATTGTGCCCTTTTCCAAATGCAGGTAATGTTGAGGTTCAGCTGGCAGGCCGGGCTTGTGCCCTTCCCCAAATGCAGACAGTGTTGAGATTCAGCTGGCAGGCAGGGCTTGTGCCCTTTCCCAAATGCAGACAGTGTTGAGGTTCAGCTGGCAGGCAGGGCTTGTGCCCTTCCCCAAATGCAGACAGTGTTGAGATTCAGGTGGCAGGCAGGGCTTGTGCCCTTCCCCAAATGTAGGTATAGTGCTAAGATGCAGGTGGCAGTGAGAGGGATGGTTCCTAAACTGGGGATAAACACATAAACAGATAAATGGGGGAAAGATGGATGGGGATAGGGAGGTGTTGAGGGGCAGGGCTCCCCTCTGGCATGGGAAGGCATGTGAGCTCACACAAACAGGCTCAGCCCAGCCCAGGAGGGGAGGCCTTAAGCCACAATGTCCCTCAGAGCTGCAGCCAGCTCGGGGAAGAGGAAGCGGTAGCCGCTCTCCAGGGTGCGTTTGGGCAGCACTTTCTGTCCCTTGAGCAGCATGACCGCCCGCTCCTCCCCAAAAACAGCGCGCACAGCCCAGGCAGGCACCGGCAGCAGGGCGGGGCGGCCCAGGGCTGCAGCCAGCTCCCGAGCAAAGGCACCATTGGAGGTGCCAGAGGATGTTGGGGAAACCCCATTGAGGATGCCCCGCACATTCTCCTTCTCCAGGGCGTGGCACACAATCCCACACAGGTCCCGAATGTGGATCCAGGGGAAGGGCTGCAGTCCGGAGCCCAAGGGGCCCCCAAGTCCCAGACGGAAAGGCCAGATCATCTGAGAGATGGCACCACCACCTCGACCCAGCACCACACCTGTGGGGAGAAGACAGTGAGACCAGGTGCTCCTGTTCCCCCTTCACACCCAGCCCTACAAGCAGGAGAATCCTTGAGGGTTGGGCTGGAACAGGACCCCAACAGGGAGAGGCAGAAGAACTGATGTCCTTTACCCACCTCTTCCCACTCCTGCCTCAGCAGTGAAGCAGAGCACCTTTAACAAGCACCATGCCCCATCTCACCTGATCTCACCACAACTCCACGAGTTGGGCTCCCATAGATGAGAGCTGCATCCTCCCAAGAGCTCACCAGGCGGGAGAAGAAGTCAAAATTCCCTCCTGGACTCTCCTCAGTGTACTCAGCGATGGGGCTGGGGCGGTAATAACCTGCAGGGTGACAGCAGAAAGGCAGTCCGGGTTGAATGATGACACCAAGCCCTCCCTTCCCCATCAGACTTTTCTCTTCCTCCTATGAGGAAAGGCTGAGAGAACTGGGATGGTTCAGCCCAGGAAAGAGACCTAATTGTAACCTTCCAGTTCCTGAAAGGAGCCTACCAGAAAGCTGAGAGAGACAAGGGCCTGGAGTGCCAGGACAAGGGGGAATTGCTTCAAATAGAAATTACCTTTAGATTGGCTATTAGGAAGAAAGTCTATCCAGTGAGGGTGGGGAGGCCCTGGCACAGGGTGCCCAGAGAAGCTGTGGCTGTCCCATCCCTGGCAGTGTCCAAGGCCAGGTTAGACAGGGCTTGGAACCACCTGGGATGGTGGAAAGTGTCCCTGCCCATGGCAGGGGTGGGACTGGATGGGCTTTCAAGGTCCCTTCCAACCCAAACCACTCAGGGATTCCATGAGCTCAATCCCCATCAGGGACATCCTCACATGAACAGCACAGGGGCTCTCTGGTGGCAATGCTGACAGGTCTCTGAACTCCCAATGTGCTCTGTGAGTTCAGGAGGATGCACTACTGCTCAGGCAGCCCCAAAACCCAAACAGGCCTGCAAGCAACACACTGAGCTGGCTGTGAGGCACCTGCTTTAACACTGGGCATCACAGAGCATAAACCATGGCAGCTTTAAGGAGTGCAGCAAGCAGAAATGCAAAGTTGGAGATAATGCACAGCGCTTCAGCTGAGGCCCTGCTTAGCCAAACAGGTTCTACAGGATGCCAAAAGGCTTTCACAGCAAAACACAGAAAAGCTTTGGTCCTAATAACACCAAGAGAAAGCACAGGCACCCAAATGCCCCTCCAGCAGCACTACAAAGCTTATCAAGGCTTGCCTAAACACAGTGACATTGATGGCAAGGCACGTGCTCCCGTGGAACTGTCTTTGCAGGTAAAACTTCTCCAGGTCAGCCTGAGGGATGTCTTGGCCAGGCCTAACCAATACCTACGCCAGTGACGAGGACCCACGCCCGGGGGGGATGCTCAGCAGCAGCAATGGCCTTGGCCAAGGTCCTCGTGGTGTCCACCCGGCTGCTGATGATTTCCCTGCAGAAGGAATCGCTCCATCTGGAAAAGGGAGGAACCAGGGGTTATACAGCTCACATCCCAGCAAGGGGGATCCCAGCTGACACCTGCTCACAAGCACAGGAGAGGTCACAGGAACTCCTCCCACCCAAGTGAAGGGAGGACGTGTCACCTCACAACAGAAATGCAGGGGAACTTTGGAAGATGGTGGCTCTTCATTTCCCTTAAAAGATTGTGTGTTGCCTTAGGACAAAGTTAGCAAAGGAGCTAGATACCAAAGCTGTTCCTCCCAGAGGTCAAACATTGGTTCTGATTTTGCACTACCAAATGTAAGCATCCAATGTCTTTTTTGAAACATGGAACTAATTTTTCTCTGCAGCTGCAGATCCAGAAGGGAATCTTCCAAAGGTCTCTCAGAACCTACCAGGCCCACTGAAATGTTCTGGATATTTGGGAACACAAATGTCAACAGTTAGTTAACTCAAGAGTTAACTGTGTTGTTTCCTCCCTTTTCACATTCTCTGACAACACGACTGTCTCACCTTCACCTTGTCCCAACAGCACTGTGGGAGATCAAGTTACCTGCGGAGAGGGTTGAGGACATTTTGACCAGCCAGATTGACCACAGCATCACACACGGGCAGTCCAGAGCGGGACAGCTCTTCCTAGGCAGGAGTAACACAGAAAACACACATCAAACTTCCCCTCTGCTCAAATAAACAAATAAACAGGGCAGGGTGMTAAGAACTCCAGCCAGTATCTTCCTGACATTTCTGGAGCACAAGCATGAATGGAGAMRGTTTTGCTCCTTGGAGYTACAGCAGTACTCATTCCAGTGACYGTGGCACATGGAGCCCCCAGCAGCCCACAAGTACATCCACAGGAGCCAGATTTCCCATGGCAGAGTCCCTCTGTCTCACCCCAGGTTTGTTTCTCAGCCCTCCCACGTTCCCTCTCCTCTCATACCCAGCTGATCCGATTCCTGCCGCCTCGGCGAGACACGTGGGTCACTCGGTGCCCTCGGCTCCGCAGCAGCTGCGTCAGGGCTGTGCCCACGAAGCCTGTCCCACCGCCTGGTGACAGAGAGAGAGACACAGACAGAGATCAGGGTCTGTCTGGGCCACCCTTCTCTGGCCGCATTAGCGCCCTGCGGCCCGTTGGTGGGGATGCAGCCCCACAGCCCACAGCCCCGCCGGGCCCCGGCCAGCCTCCCACAGCCGGGGGGAAGGGGCGGCCTGGCTCCAACCCAGCGGGCAGCACCAGCAATCCAGGATCGCTTTTCCCTTCTCCAAATCCCCGCTGCGCTCACCGGGCCCCGCTCCCTCACAGGCCCCGCACTCACCCACCAGCACCCGCATGGCGGCACCGCGCATGCGCCGGCACGGGAGCGGAGCGGCGTTCACTGCGCATGCGCCGGCACGGGAGCGGAGCGGCGTTCACTGCGCATGCGCCGGCACGGGAGCGGAGCGGCACTCGCTGCGCATGCGCCGGCACGGGAGTGAGCGGCGTTCACTGCGCATGCGCCCTCACGGGACGGGAGCGCACTCACCGCGCATGCGCCGTCACGGGAGCGGCACACACCGCGCATGCGCCGGCACGGGAACTGAGCGGCGTTCACTGCGCATGCGCCCGCATGGGAGGGCGCACTCACTGCGCATGCGCCGGCACGGGAGCAGCACTCATTGCGCATGCGTAGGCACGGGAACGGAGCGGTGTTCACTGCGCATGCGCCCTCACGGGACGGGAGCGCACTCACCGCGCATGCGCCGGGCAGCGGGAGCGGGGCTGAGGGGCACTCACCGCGCATGCTCCTCCCGCCGCGCACGGCGCCCCCCAGCGGCGGGGAGGTCCTTGAAGCGGCTGAGGGCGCGCGGAGCGGATCGTGAGGGTGTGAGGGAAATGAACCCACGGTAACAGAGGTTTATGCCCAAAAAGGAGACAGAGGAGTCCTGCAGCTTTATTGGAATAAAGGGAGAGAGTTCACTGGGGCACACGCCCGTGGGGTTTTTCTCTCGGGGTTTGGGAGGGTAAAGCCACCTTTTATCCCAAATTCCCGGCCTCACATGTCTCTTCCTTTCCCCAGTAGCGGAGGGACTGGGAAGGTACAGCTCCCAAGCTCCCTACACGTATCCCACCCTGAACCTGTCATTTGACCCCAAAGTGCGGGTGCAGACCCACTTTTCTGTTTCTGGAATCAGGCTGGCTGGGCTTTGTTAGAAACCTGCTGCTTGCGGTTAGGAGAGACATTAAAACTCCTTTCARAGATGTTAACACCCATCCCTTCACCCACAGAATGGTTTGTAAGGACAWCAGCACACATCTAATTTTACATCTGGATTGTAAATGCCTAAAYATGGTTAAACAAAACCTCACTTTCTTCTAGTTTCTCCTAGATTTTTTTTATATTTCCTGCTTTTACTGACTATCTAGAAATACAAAATGTTCTTGGACACTCTTGAAAGGTCCTGATGTCCTTTATTTTACATTCTGATCATCTGTCTGTACCAAATTGGACACTGTGTTCATTAYCAATTTCAGTAAAGGTGCTAAATAAACCCTTTCCTTTTAAAGTGCTTTTTCAGATACTGTGGTCTTTTTGTAAACTCAAGTTTTATATGGGCATATGGAGACACATTGCTGATAGATTTGTTTAATTATTTGTTTATTTATTACAGAATATTAAAAGGTCTGAAGCACTCTGATAGTCTGAACGTGGAGTAGTTTTCTTAGTTTATTTCTTTCTTATTTTATTTGTTTCTGTATTTTACAATCAGATTTTCTCACAGATGATCCGTGTTTGACTCAGATTCATCAGCTCCGTTTCCAGCCTCCTGCATAAATCATGACTCCTGATGAAATTCTGCAACATCCAGGGCTCCTGCAGCCTGAAGGAAATATTGAAGTGATTCATCCTTTCAGGTGTGTCTGAATTTCTTCATGGAACAAATATTTTTGTGTGTGCAATAAGGTTATTTAAGGTACCTCGGTCTCGTTGTGAAGCTGAGACAGAGCCCAAGGGAARATTCAGCTGTAGCATTTGCTGCTCACATTATACTTTCTCCAAATCCACATTAAAAAATATTCTGCTTCAGAGGATGATTCCTTTTATCTTACATCAGGTATCCAGGAATGTTAAAACTACTCATCCTTTCCTGCTGCCTATTTCTTTCAAAAGATAACAGCAAAATCTCAGAGTAAATAAATCACACATGGATATCTGCTTTTCACACACATTTTACAGTGCTTTCTGGACTCTGTTTTATCTAGGGCAAACAGATCTGGGGTTGATTTTCTAGCATTTCCAAAACCTCTTTAAAAACASAGCAGTCATTGAGCTGSAGACTTAAGAAAGGGTGACAGCAGWRAWTCTTAGGGGGAAAACAAGCAAAAAAAAATYCCAAACCCAAACAACTTAAGTCAAAGCCATGTAAATACATAGATCTAACTTAAATATATTAATGTCTAGTTCAATAAATATAGTTGTGTGTGCACAAAGAGGAGAGTTTCACTTTGGCATGGATTAAGGTCTGCACCTCCTGACTTTAACTCATCAGCACTGCCAGATTTTCATGRGCAAAGCCCCTTCTCTGGGAGCCTTTCCTTGATTTCTTTGGGRTGTCTTCTGCAAGTAAAGGTCTTTCTGACTGCCAGCCTGACTTCTTTGTTCCTGAGGCAATAAATGAGAGGGTTCAGAAGTGGCACAACCACCGTGTAGAGGACTGACACCAGCTTGTTGGCACGATAGGTGTACATGAGCTTGGGGTGGGCGTAGGTGAAGAGAGTGGTGGAGTAGAACAAAATCACCACGGTCAGGTGGGAGCTGCAGGTGGAAAAAGCCTTTTGCCTCCCCTGGGAGGAAGGAATCTTCAGCACAGTGARCAGGATGCAGATGTAGGAGGCCACCACGGCGCACAGAGGGACCATGATGACCATCAGAGCCAGGACAAAGTCCACCAGCTCAGCCAGAGAGGAGTCGCTGCAGGAAATGTTCAGCAGGGGTGAGATGTCGCAGAAATAATGATTGATTTTGTCCTCATGGCAGAAGGAGAGGCGGGCTATGAAGCTCAGCTTGATGGAAGAAGTGGCCAAGCCACAGATCCAGCAGGCAGCMAGCAGCTGAGCACAGAAGTGGTGGCTCATGATGAGGGGGTACCTGAGGGGTTTGCAGATGGCCACGAAGCGGTCGTAGGCCATGACAGCCAGCAGGATGTACTCGGTRCAAACAAAAGTGACAAAGAAATACAGCTGGGTCATGCAGCCCTGAAATGAGATCTGTTTATCATGAGAGAGCACATCTGCGAGCATCTTGGGCTCAATGACAGACACGTACCAGATCTCCAAAAARGACAGATTCCCCAGGAAGAAATACATGGGTTTTTGCAGGCTGCGGTTAGTTCGGATGAGGAGAATGATAAGGAAGTTTTCCAGCACTGTTAATAAATAAACCAGGAGTAAAGCRGAGAAGAGAGGCAGCTGCAGTTCAGCAGTGGTGGGAAAACCCAGGAGAATGAAATATGTGACACTGGTTTCATTGCTCCCACCCATCCTGGAGTAGAAAGATGAATTTTATCCACCTGAAATAAATTAATACAATGACACCTAACTATACATCATTAATTAAATTCATAGCCATACATTACACCACCACTTAAAGACACTGTAAAAGTTTGGACATTTTGTTGCTGGGTTTTTAGAAATTAATTTTGTGACAATTGTCTGCTCAACTAAAAAAATTTAATTTTAAAAATTAAAAKCATGCTATTTACTTTACATTTCACAGAGATAAATAGGCATTACAAGTCTTGTCTCATCTAAGACAAAGGTATAAAATAAGCGAGATGAACGATGCTATTATATTATCCATCCACTATAAAGAAATAATAGGTTATGAGCTTATAAGTAAACATTCACATTGCCAATGTTTCAGCTTCTACATCTAAACATTTCTAAAGTTACATCATTTCTAAAGTTACACCATTTCTAAAGTTCTGTCATCTATATTTTATGAACTGTAAGGGAAATKTGAAGTCCTACAAGGATATATTCAKTTTGATTTAAAAACCCCTCTCCAAACACACCTGATGGAGGTTTCTATTAGAGGTTTCTATATCTAACTGAGTTACATCTACATAAAATCTTGAGATAAAAGATACCCACAGCATCCTAGATACAGCATAAGTCAGGGAATTATCATTATAGGTCTGGTTAGTTTTATCACCTAACTCAGATTAGTTAGTTTTAGGTTAGTTTTAGCAACTAACTCAGATTAATCCTTCAAAAATAAGAATGGCTCTGCCTGTGCTATTAAAAACAAAATTGTTCTCAACCTTCAGTAGTGGGAATCCACAGCCTTCACTGATCCTGGAGAATGTGACCAGTAGGGTACAGGTGAAGTGCAGACTGATGTGTCAGTTGTGGGATTTATASCAACACAGATAAATCAACACTTTATTTACCTCTGGTATCTCAGGAGATTTGATTAAGAAATTACAGATAGCCTCCCAATGGAAGCAATCACAGAAAGAAGTTTGTTATTGTTTCTTCTGTGATTCCATGCAGAGTAAAGTAAAAAACTGAAGATTTTTTTCTGAGACACTGAATAATGAAAAAATACCAGCTAATGTCTACTGATCTTTATAGGGCRGAGGAAAATAAAAACATACACTGAGGCAGAGGATATGACAGCTTTTTACCAAAAGATAAATTAGAAAAGTATCTCAGTGCCCTAATCTGAATCCGTAGCCTTAACTTCTGATTGTTTTTGGAATAAATAGTTTCACAGACACTGAAGTCACTTGTACAATCCTCAGATACACAAACAGCCAATCTGTGCTTTTTCTGAACAGTCTAACACAGTACAAATGTGTTAAGAGCAAAAGGAGGGGCAGAGATGAGGTCAGCTGCTTCCCAGAGAGGGCTGAGATGCTGCTGCAGGATTTTTAAACTTGCTCTCTTGTCACAAACMTATTTCAGTGTGGTCAGGTTTTTTCAGTGAATTGTCAGGTCAAGTTTTGAAAAGTTCAAAGCACAGAGATTTCGTTACMTCTCTGGGACTGTGTGTGGTGCTTAATCCCTCTGATTGGTTTTGTTTATGGTTTTGTTTAATTTTTTTTCCTTGTTTTGGACTATCTTACCTGAATTTAATTTGTTGCCATTAATTTCAGTTGCTTTTGTCTTTTCAGACAGTGAGTGCCCAACTCATAATGAAAGATTTGGTGATTCTTTCCCAGGAGCAAGATTTTGCATCTGTGTGTTAAAGTTCTTCTTGACCCCCTCCTTTGAATGTTATTTTAGGAATGACCTGTGTTCAGACAACTGATTCTTCTCTTAGTGCTTATATCTCCTTATGTAATGTTGAAGGAGTAGAAGAAAATAACATTTAAAAATCAGGAGGCTCATTTAGCATTTAAAACAGAAATTAAACCATACAAATTAACCCTCTTCTCCAAAAATCAARWTTTTTTTTTTCTGAATCTCAGCTACTTCCCAAAGTTATATTTGAAATTAATAAAGAAGAAGCTTCTTGGTGATGGTTCATGTTCTCCTATCACAGCTGTGGAAAATTATTATTATATTGTTATTATCTGAATTACTCAAGTTCCCATCCTCATTACTGTAAAGAATGTTGGCATAGCTATTCATTTGGTGCCTCAAGCTCTTGAATCCTAATTTCATATTAAGTTGGATCAAGGTCAGAATGCAATTTTGTCCTTTGATGCGCACCAGAAAAAATTATTGCCTTTTCTTCTCCTCAGGAATGATGTGTGATGTGTTCAGTAGAAACACCTTTCACATTCACACAGTGTTAGCATTTGCTGGTTTTAGCTGAATGTGCAGRTTGTCTTGGGAGAAGGAATGTTGAAGGATGGTTAAGAAGGTTGAAAGAAAGGTGTTGAAAGAAAACCCTAAAAGCCCTTTCTGTCAAAGTAAAGATTTTATTAGACTTTCATAGCACTCAAATTAGTGGGAAGATTATCTTCCAAGCATCGCATTAGTGATCAGCTGTAGAAACTCTGGAGAGAGCAGCCGTGCTGCACAAGACCTTCCACAAAGTGTCCTTGACTTCCTGGTTCCTCAGGCAGTAAATTAAAGGATTTAGCATTGGAGTGACTACGGTGTAAAAAATAGAAACCAGCTTGTTGAGATCCAAGGAGCGCGCACTCCTGGGCCGGGCGTACATGAAGAGCATGGCCGAGAAGAAAATGATCACCACGGCCAGGTGGGAAGCACAGGTGGAGAAGGCTTTCATCCTGTTCTGGGCCCTGGGGATGGACAAAACAGTGCTGATGATRCAGATGTAAGAAATGATGATGACAGACAGGGGGATCAGCAAGATGAGCAGGGCCAAGATGAAGTCCACCATCTCGGCCACGCGCCGCCCGGAGCAGGACAGGTTGAGCAGGGGGCTGATGTCGCAGTAGAAGTGGTTGATGACGCCGGGGGTGCAGAAGGAGAGCTGGGAGATGAAGAAGACYTTGATGACAGACATGAGGAAGCCCAGCAGCCAGGAGCCCGTGGCCAGCTGCAGGCAGAGCCGGGGRCTCATGGTGGCCGTGTATCTCAGGGGGCTGCAGATGGCCACGCAGCGGTCACAGGCCATGACAGCCAGCAGGACACACTCGGTGCACACCAGGGCGATGAAAAAGAACAGCTGGACCATGCAGCCCGTGAAGGAGATGCTCTTACTCTTCACCAAAAAGYTGAGCAGCAGTTTGGGAACAGTGACTGAGATGTACCAGGCCTCCAGGAAAGCCAGGTGGCCTAAGAAAAAGTACATGGGTTTGTGCAGCTGGTGATGATTTATGATTAAAGCGATGATAACGATGTTCTCAGTGACAGTCAACAAATAAACAGTCAGGAAGRTTACAAACAGCAGAGCCTGTAGCTCTCTGGTGGCAGGAAATCCCAGGAGRATGAACTCATGGATGTGGGATGCATTTCCTTGGATCATGATGACCCTGAAGACCTGGAATGGGTAGGGAGGGAAAGAAAAAGAAACAGGGAACATTTTGTGTTATCTCCCCCAAGCATTTTCTTCACACTGCACTTKCAAATACACATTTGAAGTAGGGATTCCACACCAGTTATTTATTCTTTATTATTTAACCATTTCTGATTTTTTTTTTGTGTCCTACAGCAGGATTGGTGATTTGGATTCCAGCTCTAAGAAAATGTTTAGGCTTCACTGATTTCTTACAGACCTTCTTACCCTATCCTCACTTRAAAGCCAGTCCAAGGGGAAGAGGCAGTATTATTAAGGGTGCATTTGACTTCAGTTCTGAGCTATTTTCAGATGGTCACTAAAGCCAGGAGATCTGGATAGAAGAGTCTTGCTYAGTGGAACAGAAAACTTGGCTTGGGCTGATTCACTGTCTCCCTTACTCTTCAATATTTGCAGAAGAAAGTAAGTGTTTGTTCTCTCACATGGAGTTCTTTAAATAAAATTTGCTAGGGGTATGGGATATGTGCATTTGGGTTTTCTCTTTCAAAATTGGGAAGGACTTGAGCATTGTAAAATTTCTCTCATTTTCAATGAATTGACTAAAGTAGGCCACTTTTCCTCCCAAATAACAGTTTTTACATATAGTCTTAGATTACAATAATTACAGTAGCCACCCATAATTTTTCTTCTGCATTAATTGATAGAATTAATCTTGATTTATCACAAAATACCTGGAATTTGATGTTTATTCTTCTTCTTTTCCAYTTCTTAGAGGAGGTTTCAAACAACWWTTTTTTACCTATTCCTGCACATYCCTATCCAATRATCAACTGACTTTCTARAATGATGTTCAGTATTTGTCATTCACAAAACATTTTTCATATTAAACATTGAGAAAAAAATCCATTAATTTTATATTTTAAAAGAAAAATAAATATGTAATTTTGTGRTTTCATTATTTATCTGTCTGAGTTTCAAAAGATCTGTTTCAAATTGGATTTTCTCTCTTGCATATGGATAATCCATGTAGAACCAATCTAATTAAATAGCTTACCTATTTCATTACAAGTACACTGCTGCTGCCAAATAATAAACTGACAGAATACTAAATACAATTCCATTCTTAAGGACRGCTTTCACATCTCCCAGCCTTCCATGAGATTTAAGCTGTGGTAAATGCTGGCAAGTAAGGCAGGTAATTCATTTTCCAGTGTAGCCAGTKGAGATTCAAGCAGTTCAAGGAAAAAAAAATCTAATTAAAGTGATTTAGCATGTTATAGAATACAAACCATAACTGCAAAGTGCCTGAATGAAAAGGATATCAAAAAGGGAAAATAAAAATTATGGTTCCACATCCCAATACAGGAAAAATTCTGTATCTGCTTCATAGTGCCTTAGAATATTGGCTGGCAGTAATTTAATTTTAAAAGGGTGATAAATTGGAGCATTTCAGGTACCCATCCTCAAAAAACAGGTTGCTCTCAGGCGGCATAGAAAGATAAATTCCATGTTTCAAGAATGAAGTTTTCAGGTAAAAATAATGGTGAATGATTTTACATTCTGATCCCTTGCAAGTGGAATACAAATGCCTTTTTTTACCACATAAATATGTTCAGAAATGCTGCTATTGCATAGAAAACACAGAGAGAGGGTGAGGGAAAGGTTATATTTCACTTATACTCTCAACAGAGGTCACAGGATTTTTAAAAGCACATGAAGTACAATAAGAAATTTCTGTATTTCTAGTATTTTAATCTATTAAGTCCACCTGTGTTTTCCTTTCCAAGCAATCCCTCTTTCTTCTCTCTCACACTTGGAGAAACTTCTCCATGTTTCTCTTGAAAACTGCTCATAGAATCACAGAATCCCAGAATGGTTTGGGTTGGTGGGGACCCCAAAGCCCATCCAGTGCCACCCCAGCCATGGCAGGGACACCTCCCACTGTCCCAGGGTGCTCCAAACCCCGTCCAGTCTGGCCTTGGGCACTGCCAGGGATCCAGGGGCACCCACAGCAGCTCTGGGCACCCTGTGCCAGGGCTCACCACCCTCCCAGGGAAGGATTTCTTTCCAATATCCCATCTAAACCCACTCCTCATTTTGAAGCCCATTCCCCCTTGTTCTGTCACCCCAGCTCCTGGTAAGAACTTGGAATGCCATTTCCAGGACACTCACCACTTTTCTTGGTATTCTCAGAGCTCAGGAGAGATCAGACGAGAAGAAAGACCTCGAACAAAGYTGGAGAAAAAGAAATTAAATGCTCTTTGCCTCAGCAAGAGATCAGTATCTCTGTTTCTTTCTCTCTCTCGTTTAGCTCAAACCTTACCCCGTTGTTTTTCTGTTTCTCCCCAAAGGCTGGTTTGTAAAAAGCTGTGAGCATTTACAGTTCCTGCAGGCTGTCTGCAGCTCCAGCTGAGTGTAAGATTTCCCAGGATGGTACAACATCACTCAGTTTATTACCTTCAAAGCCCAGGAGAGCTGAGAACAGAATTACAGGGAATACATTCCCCTCCTTTTTCCAAACCTCACGAAGGTGTCGCTCTGCTGGTGGTTGCTTGTTTACTTGTTAATTTTTTTATTTGCTAATTTGATGTTGTAACACTGTTGATAATTGGTTTTTTCCTTTCTCCAAAGTCGATGTTKTCTCTGTGACAAGGCATCAGGCTATAACTCAGCACAATTGAACTTTGCTGTTGGCTCATGATGCGTAGCTTTGGCCAATAAAACTCTTAGCAGTGCCTTTGTTTCTCCATACATTAAATAATCACGACACTGGTTGGAAATGTCTGTGTTACAGATATTTGCCATTGGGTCAACTCTTAAAAACAAACACCTGCATTCTGAAAAAAAGAAAAATCTCCATATCGAAAGTTTAGGCAGCAGCATTCTTGCTCATCAGTGTTGTAGTGCTGGGGAATAATTGCTTGTTAGTTTCTTGTTGTTTTTCCATTACTCAGGTGCCAGCACTCCCACAGAAGGTGAGGAACGGGGTGGGGACCCATCCTCTGGCCCTGAGCCCAGCTGCTGACACATGGGTGACACTCAGGAAGGGTTTGCTGTGCTGCCACTGCCTCAGCAGGTGTGGGGAGAGAAGAGAAAGAGAACAGGAGCTGCTCAAGTGCGAGGATTGGAAGGATCATTGTGAGTATTGTGGGGCTGGGGGGTAAGAAAGGGGGGCCAGCAGGAAGAGAGGCTGGGGAGCAGCTGAAAGAGGGGATGGGCATAGCACAAACACAGAATGGAAACAAGAGTCTTTCCAGAACAGACCCAGAATGGATGGAGAAGAGAAGCTGACCTAGAGAAAAGGATTGTGGCCTTCAACTTAGAAAGAAAGAGAAATGCATCAGAGACAGAGTGGAAAGCCCAAGGGATCCAAGCAATTCCAGTCAAAAAGGAGAGCTAGACAGAAAGAGAGAGAGAAAAAAGAGAGAGAGAAAGAGAGAGAG